CTTTAGTGATCTGCCTGGTAGTGACCTTTCTACCCTCCATCATCGAAGCTGGTCCTTCCCTTGCTGATTATCAGTTAATTGCTGCTGAATCAGGACTTCATATTTTGACATCCCCCCGTAAGATGGAGAGTGGATATCAACAACTCCTATCTTGTCCACGTGTCGATAGAATTGGAACGAGCTTATCGCCTTTGTCAAAATGTTAGCAACCTGTGAATCACTATTAAGATACTTGGTGATTATACTTCCTTCTTGAATTTTATCTCTTATCAAGTGGCAATCCAATTCAATGTGCTTAGTTCTCTCATGGAAAACTGGGTTAGCTGCTATGTGGAGAGCTGATTTGTTGTCACAAAATAGAGTAGCTGCCTGTGGATGGTTAATTCTCAAGTCTTGAAACAGAAATCTGAGCCAAGTGATCTCACAACATGCATTTGCCATCACCCTATATTCTGCCTCTGCTGAAGACCTGGATATCGTGTTTTGTTTCTTTGATTTCCAAGATATTAATGATCTTCCAAGCATCATACAATAGCCTGTGGCACTCCTCCTTGTATCAGGACAAGCTCCCCAGTCTGAGTCACAATAAGCATTGAGCTGTAATTCTGATTTAGTAGAGAACAATAGTCCCTGTCCTGGTGCACCTTTTATGTATCTCAAAACTTTGTTGATAGCATTGAGATGAGAGGTACGAGGGGCACTCATGAACTGACTCAATAGCTGTATTGAATATGAAATGTCTGGTCTAGTAATTGTTAAGTATAACAACCTTCCAACGAGTCTTCTATATATGCCAGGGTCAGGAAGTAACTCCCCATCAGTTTTGGACATCCTTGTATTCTGATCCAAAGGTATCTTTGTTGGCCTGCTTCCTAATGTTCCTGAATCTGACAGCACGTCTAAAGCGTATTTTTGTTGGCAAATGTATATTCCCTTATCAGACCTTGCCACTTCTATTCCCAAAAAATATTTTAAAATGCCCAAGTCCTTGATCTGAAATTTTCTATTGAGCAGACCCTTAAGTGAATAGATCTTGTTGGCATCACTGCTGGCTATAATTATGTCATCAACATAGATGAGAATGGCAGTAAAAAAGCTTCCATTTGACCTTGTAAACAAGCTATAATCCGCCTTTGATTGAGTGAACCCCTGCTCAACGATGAAGGCTGAAAGCTTTGAATACCATTGTCGAGACGCTTGCTTAAGCCCATATATGCTCTTCATCAACCTACATACCTTCAAGCCCCCTGCATCAGGATACCAGGAGGTACGTCCATGTACACCTCTTCTTCTAAATCCACATGTAGGAATGCATTATCACATCGAATTGATGTAGATGCCAACCTCTTACCGCAGCAACAGCAAGTAAGGTCCTGACAGTTACCATTTTTGCTACCGGTGAAAAGGTTTCATGGTAGTCCAATCCCTCTTGTTGCGTGTATCCTTTCGCCACAAGTCTTGCTTTGTACCTTTCGACATTCCCATTTGCTTTATACTTCACCTTATATACCCATTTGCACCCAATAGAATTCTTGTTGGGAGGAAGATCTGTGATGATCCAGGTATCATTCATCTCAAGGGCAGCAATTTCAGCATTCATGGCACTACACCAGTCACGTGAAGCAAGTGCTTCTTGGTATGTTTTAGGTTCGATGTGCGAGGTTATAGAAGTTGTAAAAACTCTGTGGTTACTTGATAATCTATGGTTTGATATAGTAGCACTGAGAGGAAATGATTTACCTGGAGTGTGAAGACCTTTTCCCTTATCTAACTTCTGTGATGGGTGAAGTGATGCCTGCTGACAGATGTAATTTTCAAGATAGGAAGGAGCTCTTTTGGTTCTTGATGATCTACGTGCTGGTTGCTGATTATCAGATGGTTCTTGCTCAGGTTCTTGTAAATCTGGAGAGGAAATTAGTTCTGCAGGATGACTATCAGATTCATGAGTTGAGGTAAAATGTTCGTTTCTGTCTGATATTGCTTCATCAGCAATATTTGTGGGAAGAATGGGAATATGATGTTCTGTTTCAGTAGGTATTGACTGTGTTGATCTTATTCCAGTATTTTCAGATGCATTGCCATCTTTGCAAGGAAATTGATCCTCATAAAATATTACATTCCTAGAGATAAAAATTTTCTTGGACTCGAGATCAAGAAGTTTGTAACCTTTTATTCCAAAAGGGTAACCTAGGAACATGCACTTTTTGGCTCTTGGCTCAAATTTGGTCCAGTGATTGGCTAAAGTTGAGGCAAAAGCTAAGCACCCAAAGACCTTTAGGTGTGACTAGTCTGGTTTGCGGTTGAATAGGATCTCAAAAGGAGTTTTCTTTCCAAGTAATGGCGAGGGTATCCTGTTGATTAAATAAACTGCAGTGATGATGCAGTCATTCCAGTATCTTATAGGGATAGAACTTTGGATTTTTAAGGCTCTTGCGACATTGAGTATATGCTGATATTTTCTTTCTACAATGGCATTTTGTTGTGGCGTCTCGACACATGTTTTCTGGTGTATGATTCCCTCTTTATGAAAGTATTCTTTCATCTCAAACTCTCCTCCGTTATCTGTTCTAATCATTCTTACACGTGACTGGAATTGAGTATTGATTAAGGCACAAAAACCTTGCAAAGCTGCAGTAGCATCTGATTTAGATTTCAACATATATACCCACGTGCATCTACTGGAATCATCTACTATGCAAAGGAAATATTTAGATCCATCATAGCTAGTTTGTGTGCAAGGACCCCAAAGGTCACAATGTATTAGATCAAAGATTTTCTTAGATTTATTATGGCTAACAGGATATGGTAACCTACGCATTTTAGCCATGGGACATATTAAGCAAGGTTTTCTAATAATCTCAGGGGTGCAATTAATGTTTAGCAAGTCTAATCTAGAATCAGATGGATGTCCTAGCCTCCAGTGCCAGAGATCAAAATCCTTATTCATGCTTGATACGGCTGCTGAGATAGGAGTTTTGCTTGGAGCAAGAGATAGGGCTTCTGTTAAGGCTGAGGGAGAAACTTGAGTTTGTAGGAGATGGTATAAGCCTTGCTTCACTTCACCCATTCCAGTCGTTTTCGAGGCCGAAAGGTCCTGTACAAAACAATTTTCAGAGAAGAATATGAGACAACACTTAGAAGTTTTTGTTAGTTTTCTGGCTGATATCAAGTTAAAAGTAAAAGATGGTACACAAAGCACATTATTCAGAGTTAAATTCTCTGTGACTTTGACAGTTCCTATGTGTGTAGCATTAACCAGATCACCATTTGGAAGGGAAATTGAAAATGACACTATGGCAGGAGGAGTACTATAAAATGAAGTGCAGCAGACCATATGGTCTGTTGCACCTATGTCGATTATCCAAGGTCTGTTATTGCCTTTCTTATATTTGACATTGTAGACTGATAAACAGGAAGTGATACCAGAAAATTTCGGAATTTGTGCATCTGCAGGGGTTATGGTAGTATGGGATTTGTTGCTTTGCGACTGCAGTAGTGCCAGAAGCTGTGCATGCTGCTCCTGGGTAAATGATATCTGATTGGCATCATCAGTGCCTTTTTGAGTCTACAGGGAGACCAGACTAGCATATCCTTTTTCCTTTTCATGAAATCTGTGTCCAGGATGATATCCATGTATTTTGTAGCATTTATCCATAGAATGACCTGTCATATGGTAGTGGCTACAAGTGGCTTTGTTGGGATTGGCCTTAGTGCACCTTTCCAGCGAATGGCCAGCATTTTACAGAAAGTGCAGTAGTATTTTCTCTGTATGGTTGAATTCTGTCTTGCTGCATTATAAGAGGTTCCTCTAGTATCAAAAGCGAAGGAACCAGGAACAGAGGTGTCCATTGAGATCTGCCTCCTTTTCTCCTCTTGTTGGATTATAGAATATACTTCATTTAAAGTGGGAAAGGGCTTTATCAGAAGGATTTGAGCTTTGATAGCCTTGTATGAGTCATTCAGTCCCATCAAAAACTTCATTACCCAGTCCCTCTGTTGGCTTTCAATTACAGGTTTAAAACCTCCACAAGTGCAGTTCGGGATGAACTCATAATTCATTAGTTCATCAAGGAGCGTCTTATACTTAGAAAAATAAACGCTCACCATGTCTTCATTCTGTAGTAGAGAAGCAATGGATTGCTTAACCTCATAAATTCGTGGGGCGTTTTGCTGTCCCAGTTGATGTTCCAGATCCAACCATAGCTCACGAGCTGTGTCTGCATAGAGTGTGCGTGATTTAATGTCAATAGACATGGTATTTTGCAGCCAGGCAATGACTATGTCATTGCAACGCAGCCAATGTTCCATCAAAAGGTTGCTGGTTTGTGCTGGTTCAGTAAGACTTCCATCAATAAAGCCTAACTTGTTCTTAATTCGAAGTACTCTTTTTATGGATCTTGCCCAAGGATAATAGTTGGTATTGTCAAGAAAATGCGTGACCAGTACTGCACCTGAGTTTTCGTTTGCACTAATATAGTAGGGGCTGCTAGGATGAGTAGGATCATTGGAATGAATGTTTGGCAGTGCATCTGTGTTGAGATTTTGCTCAGTATTTGCGTTTTGGTTTGTGGCTTCCATTGTTGTGCTTTGATTATCTGCCATGGTTTTATGGCTCTGATACCATGTAAGAAGTTGAAGAAATGAAAGTGCTCTTCCTTATGGAAGAGAAACAAAATGAGGAAATAATTGATTGATGATTGAATATGAATTTGCAGCTTGCCATTTACATTCACTGATGTTCAAATATATATACAAGTAATAAGAATGATCTAGAATCCTACTCCTCAACTAATTGGCTGAATAAAAGAATAAAATCTAACTGAATATTTAACAAAAAGATTACATAGCAGACACATAACAGAATCCAAGCTGGCTCCTTTAGTGATCTGCCTGGTAGTGACCTTTCTACCCTCCATCATCGAAGCTGGTCCTTCCCTTGCTGATTATCAGTTAATTGCTGCTGAATCAGGACTTCATATTTTGACAGCAGTAATTGATTTCTACTTGTTTCCCGTCATTCTTTTCGTAGGTAGCATTACTGCACTTATCACTGGGGCGGTTGGATTGGCTCGGCCAGTGCCAGCATAGGCAAGATTGGCAGCACCATGCAAGCTTCCCATTCCGTAGAGCATGTTTCTCCTATCAACCTTTTCCTGGGAATCGACATTTTTGGAATCATCTTTCAAGTTTTGTTCACCATTTCCAGCGTTGCATGAGACACGAAAGCGAGTGGTGGTCTTTGCATGGGTGAAAAAATGAGATGGCTTAGCAGAGACAGGGTATAAAGAGGATTTTGGGGAGGCGGAGGTGGTGAAGAGAGTGCATGGAGGTGAAAGAGATACCATGACTCGTTTTAGTATTCCAGTTCATGAGATGCCTTAAATTTATCGAAAAAGATGGTGGAAATTTACAAGTATGTGTTACTGGATTTTTTTTGTTTTAAAATCATGGTTAATATCTTGTGTTATTGATACCTAACATGGACAATATTTATCCCTTGTTATCTAATGCTTAATAAAAAAAAATTGCGTTTTGGACAAAATAATTAGAAAAAGTAAGAGATCTTCATTTATATACAAGTCACGACACTCTAAAGTCTAGTGAACACTTTATAAATAAAAATTATTAAGTGCCTTGTTTCCATTTTTTCCCTATTATAATGAGTTTTTTTTTTTTATCGATGGAAGCCTGCAACTCACCCACAATGTAAGAAGCCAGTAAAAGAAGGGTCAGGTGGGGCCATCAAAGACATAATTTCTTCTAAAAATGAGAAACAAAATGGCAAACAAACAGAATCTAAAAATATGATAATTAAACAATCAGTCGTGCTTATGTACATTACAACTTACAAATTTATTTACCAAAAAATGATACGACGAGATTTTTATTTGGTCAAAATCTCATCAACTAATTAATAAAAAAACTTCCTCACTTTTTTTTTGACACATCATCTTTGTAAAAAATTATATAAGTGATTATGTACGAAAAAGTATTTTCTTTAATCAAGTGTACGAGATTAAAACGCTTATTCTTACAATTTCTTAGCGTCATTATTTAATTTAATATTCAATTATAAGATATGGTTCGAGAATACTCTAGGAAATGTGCACACATCATAATTATATTATGTGACGTATTATAATTTACATCATGTATGTGAAGTCACCTTAACTAGTAATTAAATATCTCGTCATTTAAAAAACACAACAATGATTTCGTATTAAATATCTCATCATTAGTGGAGTAATTAAGCTGAAACTAGTAATTATACTATACAGTCTCGAGTTGGATTGAATGTGGTTTATTTATTCGAACTTAAATTATATATGTCCGATCAGGTCCCTTTGGCAGCTTCAGGAAAAGGTCCTATCATAATTGCACTAGTGATAAAAATCAGGGAATGGACATGCAAAAATACCAAAATAGTTTCTCAGACGGAGCAGGACTTGGAGAAAATCCTAATAAGTCTAGGGGCACGAACCAGGGCATCTGAGCAACCTTGGTCAATATTTCCTTGCTTCTTATGTGTCACTCTAGTCTTGATTTTGCATGTTTTGCTGCCCACTTAACTGTGCAGTCTACACTTCAAAGAAAATCAAAGAGGAGTTGGAAGCTTGGTGATTATAGAAGGATTTGTAGCAGTCCCTTTTTCTGGATTAGAATTAATCATACGTCTAGTGTAATTTTCACTATCCTTTAATAAACGATGGAATATTAGAAGGATATTATTAGGTGCTTGTCTGCTGGAGCTTCTTATCCAATTTTGAGCAAAATTATAACCGTTGAAGGGGTCCCACCGGCAGCCATTGTTGACTTGCATCTCACATGCATTTTGGAAAATAGTGCTCCAACGGGTGGAAAAGCAATTTTCTGTGTTGAACAAGCTGCTCCAGACAAGGCCTAGATTTAGCTTCCAATTTTCATGCATATTTTAGAAAATATTATCAGGGTTTGATTTAATTGTTATTATTAGATACTTCTTATTTAGAATAGAATATTTGAAATCCTATATAAAGGAATCTTTTACGTTGTAACAAAAACAAACTTGATATAATTAAATAATTGATTTCTCCCCCAATTTCTATCTTCCCCTCTCCCTCTTACTCTCTCTTTTCACCCTTCTTTCTCTTCTTCTCTCCTCTTTCTCCTTCTCCTATAAATCTTCTATTGTAATGCCAAAATAATTAATTTAGGAGTTGTTTAACGGAGATTTTGATATATGTCCTAGCAAATTGATGAAACGTGTAGTTTAAAAGTTGATAAAAATTGTGTATTCCATAAAAAAGTATTATTAAAATTAATTTTTAACTTTAATCTTAAATTTTTATAGTAATATAATCACATAATGCATCATCGTTTGAGAAAATTCATCCTATAGATATTTAATTTTCTTCAACAACGAAATATTCAGAATCGTAAAACATAACACATCTTCAACTATTACATACGTAGAATTTTTGTAGCATTATTATTTGAACTAAACTAACTCGCATATCCCAATATATCTTCCTCGATGCATTGAGATCCGATCAACAGGAAATTTTGATATAAAATATTTGAAGTTTTGTACAAAAGACATGACAACACGATGTGGAAATATTCTCTATTCCTTTTTCAATATATGGACAAGTTATTCCAGCTCAGAAGCACGTGGAAACCTTTCGTCACATCATGAGGATTGTCTGGTTTATTTTTTATTAATTTAGATTATAAAAGGTTATCTTCTAATATATTAATATTTCACAGAATAATATTTTTTTTTTCTAAGAAGAATCTGTTCGGGAGTGCTTAAAATTAAATTTCAGTGATTATAAATTGTAAGTTCTATAAATTTTGTGAATAATGAGTGAATGGTAATTGTAAATTTTATGAAAATGTGTAGATAAAGAATATGTTTTGGCTTATAATTTAAATTTTGACAAACAAGCTTGAATCAACGTCAAATAATAATAATGATCTCGGAGAAAAATATGCTGACAAGTCACTTCATATAATGGAAAAGTTAATAGTTTGTGAAAATCTAATACATAATTTTTTTCTTAAGTTAAATTGAAAATCTTCGACTCGTAAATCAAGAATAAGTGGAGGTAATGGTCAAAGAGGATGTTTATTTATATGGAGGTATCTATTATAAACTAGGTCCATATCTTTAAATTATATTCAACGATCGATATTTGTTCTTTTCACAAGAACTATTCTTGGAGAATGCTATTATAGAAAAGTTTTATCACAATTGACATAGCTATTCAAGATAAATCTTTAAAACAAAACTAGTACATAAGGAGATGTTAACAAGGCTAAAAGCTTGTGTGCGGTTCTGGTGTTCGGCTGAAGGAATTTTGGTGTTGCTGGTTCTGCTTCGCCCTTGGCTCATCCCCAAACAGTTTTCCATCCTTTTTCGGCCGGCGTCCTCTCCTGTTTTTTAGTCTTGTTTGATTGTTTTTTGTTTCTTGTTTGTTGTGATGTATGTTCTTCTGCATTGGGTTGCACTGAACCTCTCTGAGAAGAGCATTGTGTAGGAGTTTTATCTCCTTGTATCCAGTTTATGCTGTTT